AATTCATTTTAAGATGGCTTTAATCAATGTTTGGAAATGAATTCTTCATATTCTGATAAAATGAGAGGTAACATTTTATTATGGTATTATATTAACATATTTTCTCTCCATTCTTCTTTCTGCCAACGGTGTCGCAGTTTCTCGTCTCTCCCGTTTTTGTGCTTCGTGCGTACGCCATGGTTAGAGTTTGCGTGGAGGACCGCACGTTTTCCCGTCAAGTTAGTATTTTATAAATCGCAAACATTGCGTAGAAACTGGCGTACGCCATTTTTTGAGCGTATATCCCTTGATAAATGAGGCCCCTGGAGAGGTTGAGAACTTACTTAAAACAAAACTACTAGTAATTGTAATTTTCTTTATTTCTTTAAATCATTTATTGGGTTTGGCTTAAATATTGAAGTTTAACATTCAGAAAGTCAACATTTAAAAAAGTAGAAGTCCACAGAACATCTCATCTCAAACTCGAATTAGAAACTGCTCTGGACCAAGAGGTTAATTCACATCCGTTTAACATTTTTGAGATTCTAATGGTGCTATTTCGAAAACAATAAGGAAATTATTATCTCCAACAATAGAGTTATATCCCTTAATTATTACATTACACTTAGGTCACTTTTTTGAGGCTGTAATGATTTAATTTCCCCACTAGATGGAACTGTTTAGTTTGGACTGAAAACAAAAAGTCATTTTCATATTAAACTATTAATAATAATGTCAATTTTCCTATTTTTGAACGTAAAGGAAAACAATTCTTGCAATGTTGGAGGCGTGTGGCGCAGTGGATAGAGCCTTGGTGTTGGGATCAGGGGGTCACAGGTTCAAACCCCACTGCAGTCAGCATGTCGTTGTGTCCCTGGGCAAGACACTTCACACCAAATTGCTCCTGTGGGGTTTGCCCACAGCATTGAGTATGTAAGTCGCTTTGGATAAAAGCAAGTAACATGTAATGTATAAAGCAGTCTTACAAACTAAGTTAAATTGGCTTGTAAAGGAAGTAACAGTTATACTTTGTTATGCTTTGTAGTAACGGTACAATTGTTAACATTTTGTGAATAATTTGTGAATTTTTTTGTTCACACATTTTTTTTTTTTCATTATTTATGCATTCAGTTAACACGTCCAATACAGTAATGGGTACCTAAGGACTCGAAGTATGTGTGTCCCTGCCTGCAGAGTAGCGGTTTTTCCGACGGTCCTGTAAGGCAGCATAAAGCCTTGGCAGACAGTGAAGGGTTAACCTGTGTAAGAGGATGAATGGATATTGTGGTGAGCAGCATCTGATTACACACAGACACCAGCAGGCATCGGAGGACGGAACACACTCAGTATCTGCCGGCCGAGACTGCCTCTCATTCCCCTCCAAAAAATAAACTGTTTACATATCACTCTGGAAACTTCAGTTTTTTAACCGACGAAAGAAAAGCATTGTGGTCAATTTGCCGGGTCTTCTCACCGTGTAAATGGCTCAGGGGGGTCGACGGGAGACTGCGGAGTAAACTTGCAAGATGTCGCAGTTTGTGGGGGTTTAAAAGAGGACTTACGGCTGTGTATTATTACCGGGCTGCACATCCATCGAGGCGGTCAAACTTCCGGAGGACCGTGTGTTTCTTCCTCCAGGTCGGAGAGAAACAGGTAAGAGACCTCACCTGTCTGCAGAGCACATGTTGACAGTCACTCGTGTAATCCAGACTAACCTATATGTATACTACTGCGTAGGCGTATGCTATCTAACATCACTATTTAACCAACCAAACTGTGTTAAACTCCGGGTAACGTAGCAAAAACTGTCTTAAACTGACAGTTGGCACCTGAACTAAAGTTAGCTAAAAGCTAGTGCTCTGAAGTGGTGGAAAGTAACTAAGTATATTTACCCAAGTACGGTAAAAATGTTACGGTAGGCTACTTGTACTTTACCTGAGTATTCTCAGTTAATTCTACTTTATAATCCTACTCTGATACATTTTAGAAGCCAATAATAATGTAGTTTTCACACCCCTACATTTAATTTACAGCCTTTAGTTACTAGTTACTTTTTAGATGATTAGATAATACAAATCAATGGTTAAGATATCCAGCAGTAGTAAATACAGTTATTCAAATGAGCTCCACCTTAATTAGGTCTTTCTTATGATAAGAAAGACCTAACTCCCCATAGATACATTCTAATTATGGTATTTTTTACAATATGGTATTGCTATAGTTTTACTAAAGTACAAGATTTTGCATTCTGATATTCTTCTCACCAATTTTGATAATATCAACATCAGCAACATTTTGACTTGCCAGAGTAGGAAGAGAAGTATACAGGTGTTAAGAATGCAATACTAACTTTAATGATAATATCGGGAGGGATGAAACCGGATGAAAACCTCTTTAATGGTCACACATGCAGAGCACACAGCACACACAGTGAAATGTGGCCTCTGCATTTAACCCATCCTAGCACCAGGAGTAGTACTACTGTAGGAGCAGTGGGCAGCTATTGTACAGCGCCTGGGGAGCAATGGGGGTGGCGGGTTGTCCGGTGCCTTGCTCAAGGGCACCACGGCAGGGCAGGAGGTGAACTGAGACCTCTCCAAGTAGCAGTCCACACTCCATTTTTAGGTCTGGTCAGGGACTTGAACCGGCGGCCAGCCCAAGCCCCTACTGACTGAGCCACTGCCACTTTAGAAATGCTGCTAGCTTAGTTGCGTCTTGTAGGCTGAACATAGAGCCATCTCTATGATCAGATACGGACACATAACAACATACGGAATGTACTGGGGGATTCATTATTACATTTCTCTGTGATGTTTGATCTGTAGAAAAGCTACAAAACAAATTGACGGAAGCACAACCAAAGCTAGCTTGTCAAGTTGTTATTGATAATATTTAGGTCGGCAATAGAATAAAAAGGACAATTTAAACCCCTTTTAGCTCTGTTTTTGGTCTCCACCATTAGGGATATCGTAAGCATTAGGTATGTAATAAAGGCTAAACTTCAAATACCGGAAAATCTAAACAATGAACTAGAAAAGGCTGAGAAGTATTACAGTGTCAGAGTTGGTTGATACGTCTGTATATATGACACTACATGTAAGCTTTTTCCAGCACGCAGTGTCACCTGATTACATTGACTAGATACAAAAGAACTTGGTAATGGAGGATTAAGATTTTAAGTCCTGAAAAGCACTACAGAATACATTTGTATTTTCTATTTTTCTTCATAAAGTGTTGGTAAATGCCACTGATTATGCCTTCATGACTTTAAGTGTGGAAAAACAGAGTTTAGACGTCCAAACTTTAAAAAAAAAAAGGAGCGTTAACTCATTTGTGCATCTGACACTTCACGATGGTAAATGAGCAGGAGTATTCAAGTAGAATCCCTGAAGGGGGGGCACAGACAGGCTGAAACGTTCCCCTTGCTTCAGGCTTCAAACCCTGCCAAGCAAGTGGAATTTCCTGGAAACATGTCAACGCAGAATGTGAACTTCTACCCCGTCTGTCATCTCTGCTCTGGTTGGCTCACGTATCTGCTTTTTTTTTTTTAAATTAAAACTTAAGTTTGTGACATCAGGAGTCAAAAGCTGAAGAGGGCAAGTCAGTCACTTTTTGTTTTTCTATTTTGTCAGCACATCTTGAAACAGTTTAAGAAACCCAGAGGATTGGAGTTGACACCAGGTTCATCTAAAACACAAAGATAACTTCTTCAAATAGCTTTTTTTTGTCTGACCACCAAAAACACATCCGTGTACCATACAAGAGGAAAAAGCAAGAAATCCTCGAATTTGACAAAATGTAACCATCAATGTGTTATGTCGTAAAAAATGACTAGCAGTCATTATAGCAGTCCATCAATTTGTCCATTTTTAAAAAGCCTGCTCTCAGGATCTTTTTGTAAAGCTTTATTTTGAGAATATAAGTCCTTGGTGTTCTGTGTAGAATTGACTAGACAGCACAGCTTAAAGCAGGCACACTGTATCCACATGTGAACAGCAAGGGAAAAACAGGTTCATCTTTGCAACGTGCAACAGACTGTGCCAAGCCAGCTCCAGCCAGCGTCCCGCCTTCAGGCTGGTGCAGAGCGAAGGAAAGCTAGCTTGGAAGGTCCCCCTTTAAGCATCATGGCCTCTCTGAAGTGGTTCTGGTCAGAATGAGCTGGGAGATCAGCTGTTTGAGTGGGAACAAGGCTGAGTTGCCCTTTTCCTTCAGGCTGCTGTACTCCGCCTCTCTGTGATCTGCTTTCGTTTTATGTTCTGTCCTCGCCTCGCCCCTGTCCTCGCACCGTCACATGGTGAGCTGTCAGTTAGAGCTAGAGCCTCGGGCTGTCAGGTGTTACGGGAAGAGATCACCACATGGGCGGGGGTGTGACATGTTAAAACTGCTGCTTAAAAGACCTGCAATTATATCAGGTTCACAATTTAGGAGGGCAAATGTCACTGAGGCATTTCGGGAAAATGGAAAATGTTTTCAATAATGTGATAGGGACTATTTCATGTGGATATCACAGGATATTGACAAGAAACCTGAGAGAAATCATATGGATATTATAGATTTAAAAGCTGTCAAGTCACTTTATTGAGTCTAGGGATTTGAAACATAGAAAAACATTGAAAGTGTTATCATAATATTGCAACAACCAATATTATATGTAGAGGATACCTTTGCCTGAACATAGATTTTTCATGTATAATTGGAATTTACAAAGTCAGGACCAGTTTTTTGTCCTTTTTGTTCAGTATTTTAATCATCACTAATAAACATTAAACAAACCAATGGGACATGTATTATCCCCCTATAAGGTGATCATTATTTTTTATATTTCATTTTGATGTTCATATTGTTTTATTTTGAAGCCACACTCCTGACTCACCGTTTACAAACAATGCACCAGGGCAAAGAAAGATCACTAGCAGGAATGAGTTTGCTTTGCTCTTGGGTTTCTTGCCTCTCGTTGTACCTTCTCACACTGTTCTTCATATCTAACCACCGTGTCATGCCTTGTATGTTTTTCTGGTTCTTCATTATTTGATGTTTATTACTAGCCAGTTGCAACCTTTTTTTCTGTTTAAAAAAAAAAGGGTGGGGCTCTAAGCACTTCATTCAAAAGTGGAAAATTATTTTAGGACTGTAACTTGAATCAACCATTCTAATGGGATCAATAACGCATCAGGAGAGAGTATTTTCATTTAAATACATTGGGGTCAGGAATTTTGCTCATGAGAAAACTTTCAAATAAACTAAAAGTGGGACTTTTGATCCTACAAACATAACCTGAATATTTCAAAAAAGCCTTTATTTTAGTAGTTGTGAATATGATGTTTCTTAAGTTTGGAACATTTACAATTCTTTACAATTACCCTTATGTGTCTTGACTGTCAAGATATGTATTTAAAAGTGATTTGCAGTAAACAGACCGATGGAAAAATATCACTGTTTTCCTTTTTTAAATCCTGACACTCCCTTCCCAACTCATTTCCCAGGCAGGCAATTTTAGAGGTGTTAGCTAACTACTCTGACCTCCACTAGTGTGTGTGTGTGGGGGGGGTGGCTGCCGGTCCTTGCTGTTTCATTATCCGTCCACAACAGGCTCCATATGTGGCATTTCACCATGAGCCCCAGAATGTGCCACCTTCCAGCCAGCAGGGAGACATATAACAGGGGCTCGTCCTCCACCTTCTCCAGGCTGCTGGGATCTAACTGCACGCTGCTCCGCTGTCTAACAACCCTCTCCGTGTTTCCCTCTGCTTTGGCATCTGTCTGTCCCCTTTTCTGTCTCTCAGGCCCGAGGAGACAAAGACTGTCTTCTGTTGGACATCTGTCCTTCTGTTTTTCGTCTCTGATAAGGTAAGTTCTGCTGGGCTCTACGCTTTAACAGTGTCTGCATGGTTTTGCTCCTGTGTAACATGTGGTTTATGTGCTGTTTTTCTTAATAATTGTTCCTATTGTTTTCCAGTCATTTAGGAAAGTAACTATGTCCAATTAAACCAATGAATACTAAGTTAAACCATTACAAATCCACTACATGTCAGAGCCAAATGTTGTACTTCTTTATTCCACTAGTTATCTGACAGCTATAGTTACTTTGAAGATTTGACCTATAATTAGTATATGAAATTCAATATGTTGTTATACAGTCAAATAAACTTCCCAACAGTATGAAAAATGTGTTTTTTGGCAGTCAACTACAATATTAAAATGTTGCATAGTGACTACATTTTGACATTACAAATATACTTTGGACTTTAACCTACTGCCTGCCGTCCAATAACAGTTCTTCATTTGTGAATAATGGAAAAACTTCCCAACATTTTGGTTTACAGTAGAATAATCTATTTAATTCAAAATGTAAAAAGTACCCACACAACAATGTATATTACTCTACAAGTCCTGCTTAAGATACATGTATTATGTTTCTACATTAATGTCTGAAATAAAGCTAAACCTATGTTATATATTTAGTCGAGATGTGTTCTTAGATTACCCCGAATGTTTCCAGCAATTTTCAAACCGAGCTCAAATCTAGGTATTGGGCGTGTCATTTGGTCTCCTGTAGTTGTGTTGCCACCTTTTCCTCAAGCGGTAATAGTTGGGGTTGCCTGCGTGACACCAATTAGATTTATTTTATTTGTGCCCTAGTTGAATGGAGGTCCCTGGAAATGTGTTTAAACTTTTGCACTGCGTCTTCTCCACTTCCCCCTCGACCACGTGCCAAATGCAGAAATGAATAGGAGGACTGGTGTTTTCCCTCAACGCCTGATCTGATGTGCATGCAGCCTCACAGTGATACCCTCACAGATACCATGCTACGATGGCTACCAGCTACATTTAATCCCCTCAGTATTTTCATTTGTTGACTTTGTTGATGGAATCTTGTTGAAGCCTCACAAATCCAGATGATATCTCTTAAGTCTTCACTTTGAAATGTGATTGAGCCTGACCAGATACGATTTCATCAACCCATGAAGTAAGAGGATTTTCTGGTCAATTTCCTGACACAGCACCTATCAAAACATCTGAACAGTAGACAGTATTAGTGTTAAGGCAATGCCTACTGTGTTAGGACTGGAAGGAATTATTGTTGATTTATAATCAAGGAAAATAATGCAGTGTTGTAGTTTGGTCACTCATACTTAGTAGGTGAAGAAGAGTCATTCACTTGTTCTTTGTATGACATCTGTCGCAAGCAACAGACGTTTCTTGGACTTTTCCCGTTTATGTCTTTCGTGATGATGAGGTGCTGGTTGGTGGATTTGTTTCACAGTGGAAAGAGCCATCCTGGCTGTTTCCCCATGTTTCCAGTCTTTAAGCTAAATGTAGCTTATTGTTACTAAGAAAGCTACTAAGTTTATTTCAGAAAATATCAAACCATTATTTCATATTTGCACCAACTAGGGTTCTAAAGGACAGAAAGCTTGTCAACATTTTCTAACCTGCTGCCATTTTACCCTCTGACTAATTGTGAAGAATATTTTTGACTTTTTGATAGTTATAAACAATCAGATTAAGTTAAAAGTTTAGTCTTTTTTTAACCTCTATGATTTCAATTGTTGCATTTTCCTATCACTTGATATCGATCATCGATAAAGTGTGACACCCCTAGTAGGTTCACTGTTTGGTTGCATTGCCGCATTGGCCAATGTTTAATAAGGAACTATTAGCGTGTCATGTTGCTGTTAGGTCTGAAGCTGTCACTATGTGGAAGGCTTTTCCTCTTCACTTCCTCATAGTCTTCACTCTTCACTCAGCATGTTTGTGCTGGGTAAATTGGCACTTGTGATGAAACGGAGGCCATGGAGCAGTGAGAAAAAGTCCACTGCAGTGGTTTTTAACATTAACAGGCTAATAAAACAGCTTGAAAGCAAAGTCATCCAAGTAGTGATTCACTCCAAAACTCTAAACATTTTTTAAACTTCTGTGGCCTCAGCTGCAATTTAAAGGGATAGAAAGAGCTGCATGATGGGGGCATTCAAAGAAACTCATAATGTGGTTTACATCTACCAAAAGCAATCATTTTGGTATCATCAGCATGGTTTTCTTTCTTTAAACAGCCAGTCTCTCATTTTTGAAAGAGACAACAGCACTCTGGCACACAGCTGTTTCTCAGGCTCTTGTATGATGCCAGCTGTTTGCATAGTAAGGCAGCTAGGGCAGAAAAAGTATCTGTTTCTAGAAGTGCGAGGTGGCAGGCCGTGCTGTGCACCTACAGTACAAACTCACAAACTGCTGGAATGCAGAAGTATCAGAGGAGCTTATGGACTAATTCTCATGCAGGCCTCCACATGCTCGATGTGTAGAAGCATCGAGACAAAGCCCGGCTGCAGGGAAACTTGGTGTACATTAATGACTGTGAGTTTTTCCACTGGAGCTTATGAGGTTTGGACCTGCCTCTCTATCCGTCACCCCCCCTCCCCTCCCCCTCATCCTCCTATTTACTCGCCTGACCCATTTCTCTATAAACCAACAACCAGAATCCCCCTTCTGTCCCTCCATCAATCTCTCTATCTCTCTCCAGCCATCAGGGATAATAGACAATGATTTTTGACTATTGTTTAATGCCATGATTGACACAGAGTTGCACGTCTCTGATTATCTTTGCATCTGAGCAGAGAAAATATTGTACATTTGTTCTAGGCTTTGAATGGGAAAATATTTTGCATTGTATTTGTAGTTTGTTGTGGACTACAGATCTACAGCTGTACCACTGATTTGAAAACCGTTTTAACATTTAAAAAATACTTAAATTCCCATTGTTTATTTTTTTTGTAAGTAGAACCCGGGGTAAATGAACAAACCTATTTACGAACCTGAAGCATGATAAAACACGAGCATCACATCTTTGCTTTCACAGTAATCTTTACTAAATATTCTTGTGATGCTTTGTGAAATCCTCTAAACCTTTCATTGTGGGGTCCCCATTTCTGTTTCTCTTTGGCATAGGAACAGCAACTTGGATCAGTTAACCTTTTTATAATTACATTTGTGTAAGTCAACTCGTGCAGCTGCTTGTTGCCCTTTTTCTGCACACATATTTCTGGATAAACAGAAAATATTGCTTTATGCTCTTAATCCCACTTTTAAAGCGCTGAGTGGCTCAGTTGTCTTTTTCTAAACGGGGCATATTTCTTCATCATTCAGGGATACAATATAAAATGACTGGTGTTTAAGTATTTGTGATATTACAGCCCCACCTTAACACACAAGCACAAAGGATTCATTCTTAATGCCATTTGATACCTGATTTATTTCTTTGGCTGCGTCTGTATTTTGTCGTTTTTCTTTTTTTTAGCTTGACAAACCAGCTCCACATGCCTTATTTGAAGTTGTTGCTGTGTAACAGAAACATCTTGCCCCGCTTTAGTTTGTAAACTTCCTCAACACCTATCTTAGCTTTAACTTCATTTATGTTCACCTACACTTCTCTCACTTATCCGTCACCAGCTTTCCTGTCTTATTCTTCTCATCTTTCTTCGTTCCTTCCATCACTTCTTCTCGTCTTTCAGTGCTCCTCCTGTTCTGTGTCAGTCGGGCTTGACCGTCTGCTGCCCAGCTTTGGATGCAGGACATACCTGTAGCTTCTGGATGCTTTCAAATGGTTAGTGGATATATGAAAGAGAAACCAGGGACCAGAGGCAAAAACAAAAATCGTTTTTTTGTCGTAAATAATGTCCTGTCAAGAGACCATATTATCTTGATAATTGATGAAATTTTGTTAGACGTTGGTTCTCATGTGTCTTACATACTCTCATACCCCTCTCCGCCCTCTTACTATACTTTTCTGTAGCTCCAGCAGGTCCCTGACCTCCAGGACGGTCTTAGGTCAGTGCACTGTGTATTTTGGTTAAACCGAGGGGATTGAACCCAATGTAATGTAAACATCCTCAAAAAACACTGAAAAACACTAGCACTTTCACCACGAACAGATGGTGGGATAGTCCTCAGCCCAACCGCCCTTCAACGCCCTAAGAGCCTTTTAAGGAATTAAAGGATTTAAAAGCAAATTTTTAATTCAGTATTTCAATTAATATATTAAAATGACTGGGGTAGGTAAGTTTGAGAAATCGGCTCGAGATACACTTTTTTTTATATTCCATGGAATGCTCTTAACATCCCGATAGCAATGAATATCTTAAGTGCTTTGACAAAAAATCCATAAAAGAATGTAAGCTGTGGAAGCCGTAGTACTGTAAAAAGCACGACCAATCATCTCGTGCCCTCATTGGTCATGTGCGCGTTCGTGTGTGTTGGAGGAGGGGCTCTGTAAGGAAGTGGCAGATTTTTTCCGGCTGTGTATTTTCAAATGCTAGCGCACTCGAGCTGGTTTCTCCAAAATTACCTACCCCACCTTTAATATTGTTTCTTTCAACTAACCTAATTTAAAGTTTAAATTGAATTAGATTCAATGTTTAAATTTTTTCAGTGTGTTGTAGACAAACAAAGTTCTAATTGACTTTTTATAAAAATATTTAAATATTTGGACTCTTTTGGGACTTAAAAGGTTAGTCCACTAGAGTAACTTTATGCCTGCTTTTTCTTGATCACTTAATGTTTTTCTACACTGTACATTTTCAGTTTTGATCTGTCGTCATTCATGAGGTCCTTGGCTGTGATCCATGAAATCGAGGAGATAAATGCGGCTGGCTTCCTCCCAGGAGTGCGTCTGGGATACATGATGTGCGACACGTGCTCCTTCGCCAGCACGGCGCTGCAGAACGTGGAGTACATGCTCGCTGTCAACAGGTCTCTGAATGTGGACTGTGACTACTCGGACTTCAGGCCCAGGGTGAAGATTATTTTAGGGGCTCTGTACTCTGAGGTGTCCATCGCTGTGGCCCGACTGCTGAGTGTGTACATGATCCCTCTAGTAAGTCTCACATTCTGTCTGATTAGCAACATTTTATTGTTAAGTATTCAGTAAGTTATTTTCTGTTTTCATTCATTATCACTAATTCAGTTCTAAACAATCTTTTGACAGTGTCTAATGCACTTTGCTGCTACATTAACTGTTTTAATTCATTTAAAGAATGAATTGTGGGCATTTAACACACTGAAAAAACTGAAATGTTGAGTTTGACTTCCCTATTAGCCCGCCTTCGAAACATTTGCCATAACTACCCATTTCTCACAGTGACAGTTACCATTATTGAGGGGGAATAAAGTGTCGCTGTAGTCCTGAATCTGTGTGTCTGTGATTAACTTTATGTTATTATTTCCAAGATTCACAACGTGTTTTATAAAAAATATTCTTTCATATTCAGTATGAACAGGATGCTGCAGAACAGATTGCATATGGCTCAAACAAGTCAAAACCAAAGATACAAGAGCAAAATCACAACGACCAATCACATTTACTCATACAAGAGAAAAAGCAGTAAAACACAAATAAACCGAACAGGATTCAACAGGCTTCCTTGCCAAAAACACACACACACACACACACACACACACACACACACACACACACACACTAAAAGGCACAGCCAACCTTACTAAATTACTCATACCAGCTGAAAATATCCAAATAATCAATAACTAATTACGATACGTACAAAATTCAACTTGAAAAGATGCTCATCATTTCAAGGCAAAGGGTTGGGTCTAAAGCCCTTCATTTCAAATCTAAATGTGATAAAAGAAATTTGAAATAAATATCAGAATTTAAACTTGGATTAATTCTGTGATATTTGCTGGCTATAGCTAGCCTCTGTTAGTAAGGAAGACAATCATAATCATCGGACATGTTTTTTCCAACAGCAGAATCGATTCATTTCTGAGGGCAGCTCTGCTGCACAGGGGGGAATCGGATTGGAAAACTGCTTCAATTTCTAAGAGCTGCACTGGATGCAGCACAACTGAGGATGGCATTAGCAATGCCATTACGTTAATAGACTACAATTAAAACATATTCATTTCCTGATTCATTCAGCCAGTAGAGGAAGCTTTGATGTCCCTATCAGCTCACATTTGATCATTTTGTATTTCAAGTAATGTGTCTAGTACCGATCCTAGCTTTGGTTTAGTTTACTGTACAGAAGCTGGGTCCACGCAGCACTTGGACCCAGCTTATTTGTATCTGTTAACAGAGGGAATTTGTTGCAGTTGGTAAGGCATGAGGTTAGCTGTTTTTACCACCAGTAATTTTGCTAAGATAGGTTAAGTACATACTGGGAAAGATATTTCCTCAACCCACCAAAACTAAATTGGAATGATTTCCTCATCTATCTTCTACTAGACTTCAAACATATTTTACAATAACTATTACAGATTGTTTCAGTATATCAAATCAGATAAGATATTATTTAACCAAAGGAAATTCCTGTTCCAGAGTTGCAAAAAATCGTGAACTATTACCTATTTAAATCTGAAGTTCTTTCTTTTGTTGTTAAATTGAAACATAATTTGCTGGGTGCAAATGTGAGGATATAAAGGAACTTTTGGTTGCTTAAATTCAACAAATAATTCATAATTAATAAGGTTCTTTATTTAAAGAAATACATTTTTCATCACCAGCTGAGCAGCACATCCTCTGCACAGGACCTGAGTGATAAGCGGCGCTACCCAGGTTTTTTGCGCACTATTCCCAGTGACAAGCATCAGACCAAAGCGTTGGGCCAAGTGATGCATCATTTCGGCTGGAACTGGGTCGGGGTTGTGTACGGGGATGATGAATATGGCAGTGCAGCTTTCCAGAGCTTCCTCAAGGATGCCGAGGAAAACAGCGTGTGCTTGAACTACAAGGAGGTGTTGCCCGATTCCCTCGATAATTCACAGAGATTGCCACGCATCAAGCAGGTCGCCGAGCGCATCCGCTCCTCCACGGCCCGGGTGGTGCTGCTGATCCTCAAGGCGGGGCTGGTGGAGGCCCTCTTCAAGGAGATGATCAGGACCAACACATCGAGGACCTGGATCGCCAGTGATGCCTGGTCCAGAAGCCGGTCCATTGCTCAAATGGAAGGCATCAACAAGGTGGGGGACATATTGGGCTTCACATTTGTTACAGGCAAGAATGAATCCTTTGATAAATATCTCAAGAATCTAACAGTGACTCCAGGAGGATACAACCACTATATTGAGGAATACAAGAACCTGAGATTTAACTGCACCCCAGAATGTTTCTCAGACAAAGCTCTGTCCTATTGTCCCAGTCCTGATGAATTGAAAATGAAAGCTGACAATGCTTGCAATTTCAAGGATCCCCAAGAGCAAAATGATGACCATCTTGTAACGGCTCTGGACACAAGTGACGCCTTCCTTCACAGAATTGCTGCGTGGGCCACCGCAAATGCTCTCAAAAAGCTACTGAAGTGCAACGGTTCTTCATGCCTGGGAGAAATCAACTTCCCACCATGGAAGGTGAGAATGTATATTATCTCAGATGAGAACAGATTTTGATTTAAAAGTGTAGATCCTCCTAATTTGTATGGTAAAGGCATGCTACTGTGATTGATCTCTGAAAAATGACAATTATAATTGACATTTATTCCACCCTTTACTTTGCAGCTTCTTGAAGAACTGAAGAAAGTTCAGTTTGAGTTTGAAAACAGCAGTCTCATTTTCGACAAAAATGGTGATTTTGAAGATTGTTATAATCTGATCATATGGGAAAAGGATGGGGACCACAGAAGATTCCTAAAGATTGGGAACTACCATGTCCTCAATAAACAAATAGAATTGGAAAAAAAAGATTTCATCTGGTTTTCAACAGCAAACACCACGGTGAGTCCACAGCCTTCTCACACCCACAGGTTTGATTGCTGCAATAGTCAGGTGAGTCACTCTCTGTGTCCTTACCCAAGACAGTAATTAAGAAAGACAAGGTCAGGGGGTCATTGGAGACTTGACCAGCCTTAAGCTTAAAACACGCACTCATCATAGTGACCAGGCACATTGTAATGGAGTTGTGAAACTAGTTTAGTTGGAATGCTGTTAACAGCACTCCAACTAACTGTTCTTCTACGCACGAAAAGTTTATTATTATTCCGCCGGGTTATTTTGGCCCTCTTCTCCTCCCACATTGAACATCGCAGAAACTCCGTTCAAACATCAAAACGTTCAGCTTGGTCGGGAATCGATGGCTATTACTTTTCTCATTCATAACTTTCATAATTCCAGAGATACATCCCATAATACATCAAATTTTAACATTGAAGTCAATGGAGGAAATCCTCAGACTTCAGCAAATCTTCATGCGACTTCAACTGCTAACTGTTCATTCATACTTTCACTCAGAAACCTCATTCCAACTTTAAAATGTTTTCTTCAGATTTTAACATTAACTAGAGTGCGTGATGTCACAGCTAGAGGATAAGAAATCTTGAAATGTGCCTTGATATTTTTTTTAAAAACTGCCATAATTCCCAAACCCTACATTCTTGAGACATAATTTTTCATGATAAACGTAGAAAAACATCTCGTAGCTTGAAAAATGACAAATAATTAAGCAAAAAATAATTAAACAAAATGCTTTTTGAGGCCATGAAGTGACAAAAACGTTCAACATTCCTCCATTAAACCCCATTGTAATTTCAGGCAGATATTTCCTCACGAGCAGCAGCCGCACACCTTTAGTTAAACTGCCAAAAAGGCCACATTATTAACCCGAAACTAGGGATGCCAGTGATTATTCGATTATTCGAATATTCGTTACAGTCTCCATAATCGAATATTATTTTTAAAAATCGATTTTATTTATATATATTTTAATTATTATTTATGTTTTGTTTTTTTCTGGCTTATTTTCAACCAAAATATAGACTAATGCTAATAATAGTAATAGTATTAATAATTGTAAATGGCAATTGGTCACACCACCAGTTTGTTTTACTGTAAACTTGGAGGAAGCCTGCGTGCAGAGCAGACTGCTGCTGCAGCACGCTACACACCGCTACACACCGCTGCCATAAGATTGTTGACACCTACTAATGACTTAAATATGACTGAGGCAACCTTTGGCCGCAAAAAAGAGAAGAATGCTGGCAGAGAATAAATTCAACTTCAGCATGATAATATATGATATGATTTTGATATGAAAGCTATATTTTATTTTGTTTGCAAGTAAGTGTATAATGATGAATGACAAAGTGAACTATAAACATATTGTACCTTTAAATGTAAACATAACCAGGTCTAAAGCACTTTCCATTGGGATCTAGCCAGGTTAAAAGAGAACCACCTTCCTGACACGGAAACTCTGGCGTTTAGCTCAAATGACCTCACCCACCCTCCAATCTTGCTTTGTAGCATCTGGACCAAGCTATGTTTGTTTGATTTTATTCCAGGCTTTGATAGAGGCCATTTGAAAACAGACATTTGGAGTTTTGCATTAAGATGTGATGGGGAGACACATTGCATGGCCTAGTTTGTTTCATGTGCAATGGACCTCCAAAGACCCTGACACTTAAGGCAGACTTTAGACACTGTTTTATTTTTAAGTTTGTTACTGTGATTGGGCCTTGACCATGAGAATGGAGAGTGTCCTTTGTTAAAAGAACCAATGTTTTTTTTTGTGCATATTTCAAAAACTCATTTTGAAAGAATGCTTTCACAAGTAGACCCTCTCTACAGTCTGATCAGTTAAAGTGACTCTTGTTCCATTGTTTTCTGTCTCAGATCCCTCAGTCTAGATGCTCAGAGCGCTGCGCTCCCGGCTCATTTAAGAAGATCCTGAACGCATCCTGCTGTCACAATTGCACCCTATGTGTAGCGGGGACCATTTCAGCTGAATGGGGTATGCCTGATTGAAACTGATACTGATTTATGTTCAATTAACTGACAGGTGTTGTTTTGGCTTTCTGAATCATGTTACGTCTTTTCAAAGTAAATTACATATGGCCGTTAAAGAATTCAGATAAGTGTACCTCCTGTAGAACTAAATAAACTATAATGGCCTTATTGTAACCATGATGTGCATCTATACATCCTGTTATTTTAATATTGTAAATCCTGCACAACCCTTTGTACAATTTGCACATTTCTGCTCCACACTACCTCTTTTTAAATCTGCAAAGCTCTCCACTTTGAAAATAGTATTTGTCCCATTGTATTATATTTAACTGTATTCTGTGTAAATATTGTCTTTGTTTTGCATTTTTACAATAGTCTTAAAATATATTATAGTAGTATTATTAGTAGTACATAGTAGTGTTTTGCTAGGTATAATTATTTCTGTGTCTTTGTATGCAACATTTATACCAATGCCAATTCTAAGGAAACTGATTCTGACCCTGATTCTGATCTCTAACAGACCTGCGTACCTGCCAAAGGTGTCCCAATGGAACTTGGTCTCTCAACGGTTGGACTCAATGCAAGCAAAGAAAGGAGTCCTTCTTGCGATGGAGCGACCCTCTTCCCATCATCCTGATGGCAGCCGCAGTGTTTGGCATCTTGCTCTTGTTGGTTACCTTCATTATCTTTCTGGTGAACAGAAGTTCCCCGCCAATGAAGAGAGCTGAGGTGAGATTGTCCTGCGTGATGATGGCCGGTCTGTCAGTGAGCTTTGCGAGTGTGATATGGTTCATGGGGAAGCCCAACGTTCATCTGTGCCGGGCCCGCCAGGTGATGTACGCCCTGGGCTTCACCCTGTGCATGTCCTGCGTACTCGTCAAGGCCTTCCGCACCTTCCTGGCTTTCCTTCCCTTCGGCCAGCTGACAAGCAGGCGACTACATAAACTCTACAAGCCACTCGTGATTGTCATCGTGATAACCTCGCTACAGGGGGTCATCTGTCTGCTATGGCTGATCTTTGATTCTCCTGATATTGATGACACACCTCCACGCCCACAAAGCATGACACACGTAATCCAGTGTAGGGAGGGCCATACATACATAGGTTTTGGTATTATGTTGAGCTACATAGCTCTGTTAGCATTGGTTGGCTTCCTCTTGGCCTTCAAAGGGAGGAAGGTTCCCCAGGAGTTCAGTGAGACAGGCAACATCATCTTCAGCATGTTGATGTACTTGTTTGTATGGGTGTGTTTCATCCCAGTATATATCATGAACAATGAAAGTAGCACCACTGTGCAGGCTTCAGCCATTCTAGTATCCAGCTATGGCATCATCTTTTGCCATTTTTCTCCCAAGTGCTACCAAGTGCTTTGGAAGTCAAACACGGAAACACTGGAGAGGATTCTGAACAAATGGCGAGCCATCTCTAGTCCAAAACATGATGTGGTGACAGAGATAAACATAGATTTCCCTAGAGTTACTTTATCCTCAGAAAAGAGTGACAGCATTAGCATATCAAGTACATCTCCTAAATTGTGTAGCTCAGGGACACTGTGCATATCTTCCTATACTACACTAGTTACAAAAAGAAAAATGACGCGTAAGAGGAGTATATCCTGTTAAAACTGATTCCAGGAAGGTTTGCTATGTACTGCACTGATATTATAATATACCTGCTTCCCTTTTGAATGTGAATGTTTTGTAAATGTGTTTTGTTGTCAATCCATAAAAACGTTATTGTACAGACAACCATGGATGATTTGTTTGTATTGTATCCAACTCATGTGAAATTCAAAATTATTCTTAAAAACATGTTGAAGACTTTAAGACACTCTCTGAGGATACTGCCCATCAGGACAACAACCTGTTACGTTGGGACTTTATCTCTGAACATTGCATATTATTCAAACCTTTGCATATTCCTTGGAAATGTTTTCATTTTAATAAATTAGCTATTGTGGTGACTCTAGTTAACCATAATTCACTTTTGGGTCACAGTTCCTACACGGACCTTGTTTAGTGTAACACCGTAGATTTAGGTTGCCAAGCTAGAGCTAGCAAGGCACTCTAACTTGACTCTCATCACTGAGTACATGTCTGATATCACTATTGCTTAATGGAAAATAAAAAGTGGAAATCCTTCTTAAATACTCCGCCTCCGACTCCTTCTTACCGGCACTACACTGGTGACCCTGCATTTTTCGAGATAGTTTCCGAAAAAAAATTGAACATGCCCAAGCCGAACGGCGGTTTCCGCCCGTGCGGGGATTACCGCCGACTCAACGATGCCACTACACCTGACCGCTACCCGGTGCCGCACATACAGGACTTTTCAGCGCATCTGGCCGGCACGAAGGTTTTCTCCAAGGTGGACCTGGTGCGTGGATACGACCAGGTGCCCATGCACCCCCTGGACATTTCCAAAACGGCAGTAATAACACCTTTTGGACTCTTTGAGTTCCTGCGGATGCCTTTTGGGCTCAAGAATGCCGCCCAGACGTTGCAGCGCCTGATGGATTCGGTGCTGCGGGACCTGCCGTTCGTGTTCGTGTACCTGGACGACAT